TTCATTCTTGCTTAGGCACACACACACAAAAGAACTAACATGATGCGAAATATCCGGTTGCCGTGAAACGAACGTATGCAAGGATTAATTATGAAATGGAAGCGCACAACGTAGAAGCAGACGGAAAGACAGGGACAAGCGCTATTTTGGCAAGGATTAACAGGACAAGCGCTAAATTTTGGCAAGGATTAACACGGCTTTGGAAATCACCATGCTCTTCGTTTATTTCTTATCGGCGCACATGCGAGGCTCACTTGAGTGGCATTCTCGTGATAACAGTGCTTAGTGTGTCGCGGGCAATTCTTACATAGTGATATTACTTTTGCTACTGTATCGTGCATTGCTTGAAAATTTGTGCGCTCTAGCAATGTCGGTATAAATTTCTAACGCGGGCCTTTGTTTTTCGTTTTCTGAAATTTCCAGTCTGATTCCCCTCTGTATACAAGTATAGACTACGTAGCATACACTTGAGAGGGTGTGGGGTCGTCTGTCGCGAGCGTGCAAGGACCCTCGTGGTGGCAGTTTAAAGCCTGCTCTCTCCGCGTTCGCTTGGTGTGTTTGCATGTACGATGTGTACGCGCTCTCGCGTTGCCACTCTTTGTCAGACGTTAGAATCCGCACGAATGCTTGAGAAAAACGGGACGCTGAAGGCTGCATTGTGTGCTCGTAGTGGTATAAAGTGCGAAAATTATCTGCGTCTCGTGCCTTCAATAATAATGATCATAATAGGGGCTTTACATTTTAATCAACAGGATGAAGGAGGCTGGGAGACAGAAAGGGGGAAAAAATCACAACATATCCACGGAGTCAATGATAAGTAGGGCGAAGCGTCTGTCAGGCAGTCTGCCCTTCCGTCCGTTCCTTCTTGCTTCTGTCTGTGCGTGCGTCCGTTGATTGTTTGTTGCTCGTCCGTCCGTCCGCCCATCTAGTGAACACTCCAAGTACCGCCATATCGCATCTCTCTATCAGTGATCGTAGTCGCGCGATTGTCTCTCTCCTTCCCCTGTGGCACATACTCGCTCTCTCGGCTATGCGCCTCCGGCGGTTACGCACAACGACAACGGGGGACGCACAAGCCCCGCCATGAGGAACTTCGCCCCTAAAACTGAAGAGCTGCTGCTATAGACAAGCTTCGGCGTCCCGAAAGTACTGCCGTGTGTTTACAGGACGTTTATAGCCGTCACGGGGTCGTGACGTCGACGATGGAAGTGGACTGCAGGTCCAAGATGAAACTTGTAGCCGGTGAACAGAAACACAGAATAGAGTTACACACTGGCACGAATAGCGGCGAAATGAGCGTCGGCCGTCGATCAACTAAGAAGCAATGATGCGGGTCTGCAATTATACATGTGCCTCAAATATTCCAGCGTTGTCGGTAGCAGCCACGTGGTTTCTAGAGCAATGTGTAGTGTCCGCGTTGTGCTCGTAATCGCATCGAAAGACTCTTGGTTCATCGGCGCGCTTCGAACAACACTCACACGTGCAGTGGGGCGATAAAGCTTGGCAAAGGAGTGTGGCAATACAAATCAAAAACGGAGTATGTACACTGATGAGACAGTCGTCTTGTGAACAAGGTAAATAAACCCGTATAATCAGCAACTATATGGTACGCATTTTTATTGGAAATAAGAACGAATAAGAACTCGTGCACTGCGATAGCTTACATCCCTGCCTGAGTGCTGACAGGACTTTTTTTTTGTTTCATTAGGTTACCCAGCAAATGATGATGGCGATAATAATAAATTAACAGGCACAATAATGGGGGTGATAGTGGGGTGCTACAGAATAATAAAATTCGCACGAGGCGTGCATTCCCGCCATGGCATTGGACGCTCTCCACCTTTCCGAGGCCGAGTGGTTACGACTTAATGAGCGCCGCAAAGCGGCCGAAAACGCTGTAACGATAAAATCGGTGCCCCTAGCAGCGCTGCACGCTCTTGCTGCTTGGCAAATGTATGCGTGTGTGCGACGGAGGGTCTCCCGTTTCATTTTGTTCCGGCACGGTTATTGCCACCCTTCTCGCTGATGCGTTCTTACTTCGCTTTATATTTGGACCCTCATTGAATAGCATTCAGGTAGCGACATCGAATACCGGCCGTGGCGGAGGAAGATGCTTGAGGCCCTCGAGGCCCGCGTTAAAAACACCACATGGTCTGAACACTACGGCGTCTCTGATTATATTGTGGTTTTGAAGTATTATTATTATTATGCAACTATCGTCCGCCATGCTTCTAATATTCTGCTGCGAAGCTGGGACGTGCCTGTGGCTTCGAACACATTCTGTATGCGCACACACTGTAGAGGATTTTTACACCTATTTTAGCTCCACTCTTACAGCGTACAGAAAGCTGATCCTGCGTCGTGTGCAAACTAGCATGTTTCGTGCTTGCGCATGTCGTGCTAGGCTAATGACAATTCTTAGGATTTTGAGCCTTAAAACCAGAATATGGTTATGAGGGACGCCGTTCTAGAAATTTCGAACGTATGGCGTTTGTAAGCCTAAATTCCGAATGGTCTGGCCTCCTAGCATTTCGCCTCTGTTAAAATACGTCCGTTGGGATCTCGTGGGAGACCGTACTGAGTTCAGAGGACCCGGTTGAGCAGACAATGGCTGCCGGCCGGGCTGCCAGCATCGTAGAGCACCACCAAATGAACGCTTGAGCGCAGCGGGATGGGGGCCCAGGAGCCTGCGTGCTACGAACTCCTCCGTTGAAACAAAAAAAAAAAAAGCAGATCCCACGTACAGTGGGAATCGATGATATGTGAAGCGCGAATGAGGGAGGTGGATATGGAGGTGGAGCTCAACGTTACGAGGTGGACGGACGTAGTACACACTAAATACAAGCAGAAATATCATGCGCTCTCGCGGATCTAAATAAGATGCAAGTATGTTGTTTATAGTTGTGTCACGACGGCACCACTAACGTTTGCAATACCTGCACCACTAGTGGTAAATTATGGCGTACACGACTCCTTGTTATAATTATCATGCTTGCGACTGGTATTTTAGTTCGTCGTCTATTCCGGCCAAGTAGTACCTAGTTTGCTATATGTGAAGCTAGCGAAATGGCCGTGAGCGCGCTATGAGCGTAGCAGGTAGTCGTATTTTGCATGACACGCATGTCATGATCATATTTAGACGTGCCATTTTTTTTCGTCATCCATTCACGTTATGTAATGCCAAATTTCGTATATGGGAAACTGGTGTGACGGCTCCGAGTGCATCATGAGCATGGTATGTAGTCATGTTCGTACATGACGCGCATGTCATCATTATCATGTTGGCAGGCCGTCATATACCATCGTCATCCATTCACGTCACGTAATATGAAATTTGGTATATGTGAAGCTAGCGAAACGACCGCAAGCGCACCATAAGCGTGGCGTTAGTCATATTATACCATACCAGTTTTGCAATATTATGTCATGTGAATGAAACCACCACACGAGCAGCATCACCATGACATGTAAATCATTCTGACATACGTGTCATGATTTTCATGTTATGACTTCTCAATATCTCCATACATCCATGGTATGCCATACTAAGTTTGGTATCGTTACCATTATCGAAACGACCAGGAGAGCTAAAGTCTTAGATAGATAGATAGATAGATAGATAGATAGATAGATAGATAGATAGATAGATAGATAGATAGATAGATAGATAGATAGATAGATAGATAGATAGATAGATAGATAGATAGATAGATAGATAGATAGATAGATAGATAGATAGATAAAGATTCGGCAGCTTGATTGATTGATTGATTGATTTACCGTAGGTGCAGGATTGATATATGCTCTTCTACCTTGGCATAGGTCGTTTTCACAGAAAAGCTCATAAAAATGAATCGCTCTGTGGCGTCCCCAGCTTTTGTACAGCTTTGTCCATGACTATTTGTTTAGTTCCGCTGCCAAGCAACGTTGTCGAGGGCGCAAACGTGTGACGTTCATGATTTTTGTGACATTTTCGCACATTTCGTTGCCTCGCATGTTGCCAGCATTGGTCCTCCCGGTAGTGGTGCCTTGTTTTCACGCTTCTTGGTTTGATTTTGCTCCCGCAGCATTAAAAAAAAAGGTGTAGCAGTGTTATCGACAAGGACTTTAAAAAATCTTGTTCTTTGTTGCCGGGTGCGCTGAGGAATCGTCAAAGTTCTTGAAAGTGTTTGTAGCTCAACAACCCTGATAAACAGCTGTTTACATTTTGAGAGTTAAGGCGTACTACAGAGATTGGGCACTGTTAGCTTTTCGCTTTTTTATAAAAAGTTATTGCTTTTGGATCCTCTCTCAATATGAAAGGCAACAGAAATCACTGGAATGCCAGTAGTTCCTCCGAATGATCATATCCAAAGGAAATGTCACCACAATTTGTTCAGTATGCACATGTCCCATAATAATTACCCTGTATTCTAAAGTGTTACTTTGAGTGCGAATATAAACTGAATTATACCTACAAAACAAAGCTCCATTTCAAGTCAATCAGGCAATTTCGTTAAGACGATTCACGATGGTATAGAAATCAGTAATATGCACTGCTAAAACTGTGACTACAGTTATGCGGACATTATTATTACGCACCGAAGTTCATGTAAGCTAATAACTCTTACGTTATATTTGTGCGTTTTAAACTCTTCAAACAGTTTAATATTTTTGGAGCTAAGCTAAATGCTTTATGTAAAATTGGCATTTATAATTGTCTTTGACTCTTCGAGGCTGTTTTTTAAACGTATTTCAATCAATTGTGCTTCTGGACGTAGGTTCCATGCTACCTTTCTAAACTGCCATTTCGTTCATGTGTACCCCGTCCTAACTAATGTGGGGTCTGCGAGCGTTAACTACAGAAATGTTTCAAGAAGGCTCATTTGCGTGCTGTTTTTATGTCGGTGTATGAACACTGTCATATTGGCTACTCCATTTTTGTAATCTTGGTTTAGTAAAACCTCGTGGTTATACGTGCTAACTCTCTCTTTTCGCTTCTTTTTTTTTTTTTCTAACAGATCAGGGTGAAGCTGTTGTGAAAGCCTTCGGAGCCAGGAACGACGTATGTGCGTCTCACCAAAGCAGCATAACAGAGAGCTTGGGATGAGCCAGACGACAACTGTGTTGAATGTGATTCTTTGGACGCACTGTCAGGGAAACAGAAAAGAAAGAAAAGCTACAAAGAAAAGAGAAAGGTCGACGATGAAGATCTTTGTGAGACCCTGCGGGATATCAGCGCGGATGAAACCAGTGCCGGTTCGACCACGGGACAAAAGTGCACGCACACACACGCGCACACACACACACGAAACTCATACAAAACACGTACGCAAACATTGACGACAAAAAAAGACAAAAGCTTAGGACAATTTTTTACTATGGACTTCAACAAAGTGCAAACATAAGTTAGTTTTTGTTTCGTCTCTCTTGGTTTTTGTTATTGTTGTTGTTGGCGTTTTTTTTTCTCTTTTGACTGTCTATTCAGTTTTTCTTATAATGTCTCCTATCTGTTTGTCTCGGACGTTGACGTGAAGCATTGTTCATAGTTCTTTATTTCTTCAACCTTCCATTTTGCCTTCTCCTCTTGCTTTGTGTCTGCTAAAATGACGATGATGTTTGAGGGTGTTGATGAAGATGATCAAGTTGAGAGAAGGTGGGATCCTGGGGTTCCATAAGAAAACGGAGAAGGAAAGGTCCACAAGATGTGCGAGTGCCGCTGTGAGATACAGGAGCCCGAGTTTGATGGCGATGATGGAGAGAGAGCCTGTGCCGCGGGTGCGATGACGTCATCTACAGGCGAGGTGAGGCTGTTTTTCATCTGGTCCTGGCACGACGGCTTTCTCTCAGTGCTTGAGACCGGCGGTCTGCTCTCGGCAGGAGACAGCTGTGCAGTCTACCAAGATGGATGCCTGAGAAGGAGTCATTGGGCGTGGGACGCGTCAATAGGACGCACTAGGGAATCCCCTCCTCAGTCTGTCGTCTCTCCCGCACTGTACCTTTTCGTTGCCTTCATGGATGATGTACTTTTTTCGTTGTAGGCTCGTTAGGCGAACTTTGGTTTGTCATTTACCCCATGTTTCCCTTTCCCCCACACCTTGGAGACGAACCGCCATTACGGACTGTTTTATTCTGGACTGGCTGGATTGGTGTGCAGCGTTGTGCCGCCTCCATTGTTCCAGTCTGGAAGCGAATCGTCTTAGCAAGTGTGTAGAAGCTGTTCATTCATTGACCATGTCTATTTTTCTGTTCCGTTTTGTGACGTCAGTGACAAAGAAAAAAAAAAGCCTTTTGCCGCAGTGTGATGGATGCTTGGCCTTTCAGCCCCTCTTCAAGCGCTTGGAGTGGGGCACTTTTTTGCTGTGGAGTTTGACTTCAATATGTACCTTTTCTTGCCTTCGAAACTCAGGATGCCTCCGATGCCAAGGCAAGGCTGCTCTCTGCCCGGCACAATCCTCAAATCTAGCGGGGTTAAAGAAAAAAAAAAACGGTAGGAAGATACACCGAGTGTTTGAATGCAGGAGATATGCGTGAGGTTGGAAGCGACAGTCTTTGTTGCCAGCGTGCGGACCAAAAGTTGTGACGGCCAAGAGCTGGAAGATCATGGTCCGGAACGTGCTTAATGTGCTTAGGTTTGTTTCGGCCAAAGAAAAGCGAGATATAATGCGTCGTGAAGCTGTAGTTTCTTGCCTGATCGATTCCTGAACAGTATGGGAATCAAGTCCTGTGTATCTGTCTTTACTTTTGTCTTCGAAAAAAAAAAAAGCCGCTACCAAGCACAAGTTGTTTCTCGGAAGAAAAAAAAATGATTGCGAGACTACCTGGTGTGGACTTTGATTTTTTGTGTATGAATATAAATACTATAAATAAACCGCTATATATACACACGTGGAAGGAACAACGTCTATCATACCGAAGTGGGAAATACCTGTGCCCCATGTATTGCATCACCAGCCACTTTACCCCCCCCCCCCTTCCCACTCTTTTGTGAGGCATTAAATGTCTGAGAAACATGACCAGCTGTCTGTCTGCTTATCGGGCGGAAACGTCTGCCCACAGCTGCGCTGTGATATTTTAGTGTGCCATAAGGCCCGCCGTAGTAGTGGGCACATGCTCAACACCTACGAGTTTCGTACGTTTCAGTCAACATGGAAATGATTGGTAGTGCATTGGTTTGTTTAATCTTCGTTTTTCCGTTTGGCTCTGCGTGGCCCGAATACGCTTTGCCTCAAGACGGGAAAAGTGAAGCAGTTGCGCTTCACCACCTTAGGCTCACCAATTCATATCGGCTCACGAAGGTCACAGCGGCCCGCTTTTTTATTCGAAACAACCAAAAACGCAACACACAGAGCTACAAGTGCGTTCGTCAGGGAAATACTTGCACTGCCCATTATTCTCATGGCAGCTGAGCGATCTAGAGTTACTGTATGTACGGTAGCATATGCAGTAACTCTGGGACGATCGAAGCGCCAGAGCGCCCTCTAGTTAATATTAGGAAGCTCTCCGTCTCTAGTATACGTGGGTATAAATGAGTGAGTACAGGGATGCGCCTATTTACTTCATGAAGCCGTATTTACTACCCCAACTGCAAGCTCTACTAAACCTACCTCTTTCAACTTCAGTTTCAGTATAGCAATCTCCTTCGTAAGCTGATAAGTTATCGAGGAAGCACTACGGACACCTTGACGTCTGTGCAGTTGTCGAGCTCCCTCTGCGGATCTCTTCAGTTCGTCGGAATGGCACCATGTAAATCTGTGATTGCAATACAACCTTCCAAATTTTAATGTCCGTTTTATGTCACGGCTCACATGTCGGCAGCTTGTTGCAGGAATTAGATCATAGAACACTACGGCCCAAAATAAACTTTCATTGCTCCACCTAGCTTAATAGTGTTGTATAAACTTGTTGGTGCGCTAGTTGGTGGACCATTTTTTTAAAAAAATGTCAATATTTAGAGCTCAAAACTCGCGACACATTCACGCACACACACCGGGTGTGTGGGTGGGTGGGGGGGTGTTGCGCTCGAACTCGAAATGCTTTTTGAATAGCTGTGTAGTAGTTTTGCCAACATCTACTAAAACGAAATCCTAGTCTTAATTTTCAAAATTGAGTAACAGTTCTCGCAACACGTGTAACGTTATAGGCGCACACGATGTTTTAGAGACGCTTGCTTGTCCGTTAGCTTCGCCGGGTGTCGCAGTTCGCACATTATGCTCAAAAGGAATCTTGGGAAACGCTTCCGGAGATCGCAGGCCGAAGACGGCTTCATTGTTAGTCGACTGCAGTAATGGGGCTCCAAGCTCACTGTGCCGGACAAGCGCACCGAGCAAAACAGATGGCTCGCTCAGTCGTTCCCTTCACTGAGCGCAGAAGAGGCTCTACCGACCCTACCGCCGTCATGAAAGCGAGATCAGGCGCATAATCGGTTGCGTCTCATTTCCAAGGAGCTTCGCTCATCAGTTCTATTCGTACATGGCACAGCTGCTTGTTTTTGAGGCAAACACTTGTCAGGGGAGCAGCGGACGTTCTGCATGGGTTTTTCACTCGAAACAGCTTCGCCATTAAAAGGTGTACAAGCATGAATTTTTAAATTTGTCGAATTTTTCGCCCTAAAATAAAGTACTGGTGTCGTATAATGTCTGGAGTACATTTAATATATTGTTACGGGAAGGAGACTGACTCAGAGGGGTAGTCACCGATGTATTTACAGCCGGTTAGGCGAGCAGCGCCAGCCACACAGATTAGCTCGCGCCAGTCTATCTGCTTTGTCTTCTTCAGCTCCATGCACTGGCACGTAGCATCACCCCTGGCGGCGGAGGCACCGTCCCGGTGCTTTAAAGGTCGCTATCTGACGCATTATTGTAGGGCTTGATCCGCGAGACGTGTACGATATCGCTTGGCCGCATAGTAGATGATGATAGACAGATGGGGCTGATCTCGTAGGTGACAGGTGTTACTTGACGCAATATACGGTAGGGCACCGTGTAATGAGACAGAAGTTTTTCGGATAGGCCCAGCCGACGATGAGGGGACCAGAATAAAACGAGGGTACCGGGAGCGAAATGTACGTCTCTGTGTTCCGAATCGTACCGACGGCATTGGTTGGTTTGCGACGCCATCAGCCGAGCGCGAGCGAGCTGACGGGCATGATCGCCTCGCGCAATCGCGTCGCGGGCATACTCGCTGGTGGCTGAGGTGTGAGCTGAGATGACTGTGTCCAGTGGTAAAGTCGGCTCTCTTCCGAACAATAAGTAGAACGGCGAAAATCCCGCTGTGTGGTGACGGGATGTATTATACGCGAAAGTTGCGTAGGGTAAGGCAAGGTCCCAGTCTCGGTGGTCGGGCGACACGTACATAGCGAGCATATTTGTTAAAGTGCGGTTAAATCGTTCCGTGAGGCCGTTTGTTTGAGGGTGGTAAGCAGTTGTCAGTGTGTGTTGCGTGGAACAAGAACGCAGAATATCGGCGATGACTTGGGATAGAAATGTACGGCCACGGTCTGTGAGAAGCTGTCTCGGAGCACCGTGAATCGATATAACGTCCCGTAACAAGAAGTCAGCGACGTCGGTTGCACAGTTGGTCGGTAGAGCTCGCGTAATAGCGTAGCTTGTAGCGTAGTCTGTAATAACGGCTATTCATTTGTTTCCCAATGTATATTTGGGAAAAGGACCAAGCAGGTCTAACCCAACACGGTAAAATGGTTCCGCGGGTATGTCAATTGGTTGAAGATGGCCAGCGGGTAGCAGAGACGGTGTTTTACGACGTTGGCATAGGTCACACGTGGCAACGTATCGGCGTACCGAACGAGCAAGGCCTGGCCAGAAGAAACGGCGCCGGACGCGCTCGTACGTGCGGAATACGCCAAGGTGTCCAGCCGTGGGAGCGTCGTGAAGTTCGGTGAGAACAGAGTGGCGCAAATGCTTAGGCACAACAATGAGAAGGTCGGGCCCGTCTGGTCGGAAATTGCGACGCTATAGCACACCCTTTTGAATGACAAAGTAGTGGACGGAAGCATCATTTGTGGAGGATTCCATACGGCTGATGATGTCAAGCAGCTCTGAATCACGCTTCTGTTCTTCCCCAATATTAAGGAAGTCGGACACTGCCAAGATAGAGTTCTCGTGGTCTCGTCAGTGTCCTCAGGATCGTCGACAGGGTACCGGGAGAGGCTATCGGCATCATGGTGTAGGTGGCCAGATTTGTAGACCACCGAATAGGAAAAGTCTTGCAGGCGCAAAGCCCTAGCGACCAAGGCGGCCTGATGGATCTTTCAGAGAGTTGAGCCAGCAGAGTGCGTGGTGGTCGGTAACTATCGAAAATGGGCGTCCGTATAGATAAGGTCGAAATTTCGCCACCGCCCATACAAGAACCAAGCACTCACGCTCTGTTATCGAATAGTTACGTTCAGGGGCGGATAGGAGGCGGCTGGCATATGCAGTAACGCAATCATGTCCATGTTGTTTCTGAGCCAGCACTGCACCAATGCCATGTCCACTTGCATCTGTACGGATTTCTGTAGGGGCAGCAGGGTTGAAGTGTGCCAGAATCGGAGGAGTAGTGAGAAGAGCGACGAGAGTCGAGAACGCAGAAGCCTCTTCGGAGCCCCATGAAAACGGAACTTCTTTCTTGGGGAGCTGCGTAAGCGGCCTCGCTATGTGCGCAAAATTTTTCACGAAGCGTCGGAAGTAGGAGCATAGTCCGATAAAGCTGCGTACATCCTTCGAAGATCGTGGTACAGGAAAGTTTTTGACGGCGCTGATTTTTGCCGGGTCTGGTTGTACATCGTTGGCGTCCACTAAATGGCCAAGCACTGTGATTTGATGGCGTTCAAAGTGACATTTGGACGAGTTGAGCTGCAGGCCAGCGCGACGGAAGATTCCCAGGATGGCTGAGAGGCGCTCTATGTGAGTTTCAAATGTTGGCGAAAAGACGATGACGTCGCCCAAGTAGCACAAACAGGTGGACCGTTTGAATCCTCTGAGCAGGGAGTCTATCATTCGTTCGAAGGTGGCTGGAGCGTTACAAAGGCCGAATGGGCATGACCTTGAACTGATATAGGCCATCGGGGGTGATGAATGCCGTCTTTTCACGGTCCATTTCATCTACCTCTATCTGCCAGTAGCCGGAACGAAGGTCTATGGAGGAAAAATAGTGGGACCCATAGAGGCAATCAAGGGCATCATCTATTCGTGGCAGAGGGTAGACGTCTTTTTCGGTAATTTTGTTTAGGTGTCGATAATCCACACAGAAACGCCATGCACCGTCTTTCTTGTGGACTAGCACTACAGGAGAAGCCCAAGGACTGCAGGATGGCTCAATGATGTCCTTGGCGAGCATTTTGTCGACCTCACTTTGGATGATGTGACGCTCGGCCGCCGACAACCGATATGGACGCCTATGAATAGGATGCTCATTACCACCCTATCGGAAAAATTGCCATGGTGGATACTGGAAAACATGGTGGGCGTAGTGGAAATAATAGTGGGCATGGTGGAAATTATGATGGCTATGGTGGGACGTAGTGGAAAATATGGTGGTTATGCCGGGACATACTGGGTGGTATGGTGTACAGATGATGGGTAAATTGGAAATGATAGTGGAAAGCAGAGGCTAGATAGTGGGCAATAATGGGACACTCTGCCCACCATTGCGATAATGCTGGTAAGCCCTAAGCATATGGTGGGTGGCGCTTATTATGGTGGGCTGCATGGTGTACCAAGCTAAGAAACTCTTCCCACCATTGCGATAATGCTGGGAAGCACTAAGCAGATGATGGGTGCTGCTTGTTATGGTGGGCCACATGGTGTACCAAGCTGAGAAGCTCTGCCCACCATCGCGATAATGCTGGTAAGCAGTAAGCAGACGATGGGTGGGCTTATAATGGCGGGCAATTTATATAGT